AAAAAAAGATGTAGAAGGTGACCGGTTAGCTCAGTTGGTTGGAGCGTGGTGCTCCTAGCACCAAGGTTGCCAGTTCAATCCCTACATGGGCCACTGTGGGCTGCGCCTTCCTTAAAAAGTCAACTATGCTATTGTAGCATGAAAGCAATGTGTAACCAATGACCATGGCTGTTCCCCAATAAAATTTTTTTTTAAAAGATGTAAGAAAATATTCTCTATGTTATCAAATAAAAAGGCAGTTTTGTTAAAAACTAGTATGTCCCATATAAACCCATTTTTGTTTTATTAAAATAAAAATGCCTCAAAGTATAGACATGTGGATATGTGTGAGATGCTCAACTCATAGATGCGCCTCCACTCTGGACACCCTAAAACACAGCCCTTTCAGCTAAACCCGCAATCAACAACAGAAAAATAGCCAAAATTATTTCCTGAAAATATGGTAGAATTGTTAGAAACCCATTCTCGGCAACACAGTAAATATATTATTGAAACAGATGGCAAGGGACAATGGAGAAAAACTCATGGAAATTATCTACTCCCAGTAATTTCCAGGGCATTCATCTCATCCTCATCTAATGGCAATGGAACTTCCTAACAGAACTCTCAATTTCAGTGTAGTTGAAAACTCCTTCAAACACTGAAGAATGACGATTGTTCATCCCACCTCTAGGGGCAGCAACCTGTCAGGGACCAGGAAGTGAGTGTTCCTGGCTTGGAGGCTGAGCAGTCTCTTGACACTGCCCTCATGAGTATGTCTGTGTTCCAATGACTCCATTTATGGACGCTGAAATTCGATTTCATGTAACTTCCATGTGTTACGAAATATTTTGCTTTTGATTTTTAAAACCATTTAAAGCTGTAAAACCACCCTTACTTGCAAGTGGCAGTTTGCTGACCCCTGCACTAGCTTTGTGATGGATGCACAGCCAGCACCCAGCACAGGACCTAACAAAACACAAGATGCTCAATAAATGTTTACTGAATGAGCTGAGTAAATGGAGATTACCAGGAAAACATCACAATGCTTCAGATGTAAAAAACATGCAGGAACTTTAACAAC